ATATTACACATCGTAAAAATATCGAAGTACTACGATACGTAAGTTTTTCGACGGGCTCGTAACCTTACGTAAGATTACGAAGCATAGGGTTTACGTAATACTTCGCATTATTAAATTTACTGATGTAATTTTGTCTAGTATATTTCTAATTTAAAATTAGAGATAGTTTTTAATAGTTAGTCAGTTTTAGTTTAGCAAACTTTTAATTTAAAAAGTTAATAGTTAATTATAGTTTTTAAACTAACAGTCAAACTGTAACTTTAATTAACTTAAATAAAAAATTATAGTATTTTTAAATAGCCTTTTTTATTATAAACTGAAAAAATTTAAAATCAATTACTATCTCAAACTATTTAAATAACTTAATAATAAAAATTATCATTAATCTTACGAAGTATGATTAAAATAAATTAAATTAACAATTATAAATATAAAATTATTATAATATGATGAAATTATTAAGCTTTATAAAACATTATTCAAATCATTATTATTTTTACTAACTTTTTCAGTTATCTAACTCTTTAAGCATAATAATATTAATGCTATATCCAGATCTAATCTATTATGTAACTTAGAAATTGTAAGTCTTGCAATTGAAAATATTTGCTCATATAGCATATTTATAGCTTGAATAGCTAATAAAATTATAAATTATTTTTATGAACTTTTTATAATTCTAATAGTTTATATTTACTATCAATAAATAAAATTAGATATTGTTCTAATTTATTATTTATATTGAGTTATGTAATAGATCAAAATTGATTGATAAGATTTCTTAACTAAACATAAATATTAATTTCTTTATAATTTAAAGATTGTCTATCTACAATTTTGATGATATTACTAATACGTTTTTAAATAATACTTGCTAAATTTATAATGAATTGAATTAGCAAACATATATTGTGTTATGCTATTAGTAATTTTATATTTCAAATGTTGCTTTAAGATTTAAAAAATAAAATAAAAATATATAAAGTTGAAAAATAATGATGAAAGAGCTAATATAAGGTAATACATAGATGACAAAACTGAGATCAAATTTTATAAGAAATTAAAAAATCTTGTTAAATATTTTGTAAATATATTAAATAAAATAATAAAATATTTATACATTTACATTATATTTACCTATTCATTATTGATTAAATTATATCAATAAAATTATCTTAATATTATGTAATAAATATATTAGCTTGAAATTAAATATTTTAAAACTTTTAAGCATTAAATAAGTAGAATTCTAACGTGTATCAATATTTATTTGTAGTCTTAAATATAAAAGATTTTGTGATTCAAATATATGTTGTAATTCTTCTGTCAATAAATAATACCTTTTGATTTTATTTATGAAATTCTGAACTTTTTTAATTACTTTATAAACTTGAAGACCATATTGTACAGTAAGGTTAAGTATGTGAACATCACATTAATAGTGAATTATTAAATTTCGTGTTTGATTCATCAGCTATTTTACAATCACATGCAATCATAGCAGAATTGTTATTAGTTGTTAATGTTAAAACCTTTGTAGTAAGGTTATATTTAATTAACAAATTCAATAAAGTTTCTGATATATTCATACTAGAATGAGATTCATAAAATGTAATAAATATCCAATAAAAATTTACGTATTTGCCAATTATCATCTATCCATAAATAGTTACACCTAAAAAGGCGTGATTACTTCGATAGGCACATGTAAGTTGTTAGGATAACCATTCCTTGAATTTTTTGAATATTATAGTTTAATCTTTCTTGCCAAATTTGAAAATATGTGATTTGATATAGTGCCAATTTGGTATACAATAGCGTGGATCAAATTTTTCGATCATTTTAATAATCTTTTCTATGTGTTTTTAAGATGTTGAAGCTTGGTATGTAATATCACAATGGTTACAAATTTGCGATGGGTGAAGCAGGTTTTATACGTATAGGTCCATTAAGTCTACTATTAGCTTGTAATAAAGTATTTGATCAGAAACTAGATTAGTTATAATAAAAACGTTTTCTATGGTTTGTACAGGTCAATCAAACTGTGGCTTAAACTGAATAAAACTATCATATATCGGTTTGGGTTTAAACAATGGTTTAAATAGTTTGCTTTGAACTGATTCCATCCCTACTTGAGATTATCGTCACTTAATTTTGAAATATGATGTCGCTGAAAACGTTTTTATTCGGCAAGAACTTCTCCGATATCGTACTGCGCATTTATTTGGATCAAAGACTTGTTGAATAAACAGAAAAATCGCATGAATGGCACGGCACACATAGGTTAAAAAAATACATATAAAGCCCAAAGTATGGGCAAACTAATAATGCTTTATTGATTTTGCATGGTGTATTTTTTTATTTTTTATTTTCCCGCAACCATAATATGCATATTGTTAAAAGGTAAAAGACTATTTACAACGTTTATACACGAAAAGAAAAGTATGAGCTATATTTACTTTTCAAAACATTAAAATAAAAAGACGGACATTCATTGAGTGTTACGTCCTTTTGCTTTTTTGGGGTCCTTATGATAGATTATTAATCTCATCAAAATCTTTATTAGCTTTATAAAATATTTCGGTCACCTTTGCACACAACGCTTTTAAATCTTCAAGTCCTTTACGCAATGCGTCTACTGCCGTTGTATTCTCTAAAGAAAAATAATAAATTGTCAATTTTTTTATAGAAATGTGATTAATATGATCATTTGTTGTTACCTGTTGTTTGAATTCTTATGTTAAGCTTATCTTCCGATGGGTGTGGGATAGAATAACCACAGTACTCTACTTCAGGACTTTTTTCAACAAATATAAATTTAGTTATGAAGATTTGTTTACTCGAGTTGAATAGAACAATAGCATAAAATACTACTTTTGAATGATCATATAACGTAAAGCATTTCCCAAAGTATGATCCTCACCAGTAATGTTAAAGGTTACGCTCTGAGGATCTTTTATGGCTCCCTTTTCAGTGTGCTTATTAATTAATTATAACGCAATAATTTTTTAATGACTTAAGTTTACACGTTTAACCATAAATTTTTAAAAAAATGACACTCACAAAATTCAAAATGTCGTTAACTTCAACATCAGAATCTGAAAGTTCATCTCCAATATTGCTATTATCATCTGTGTCGTCCATTGGCAACTGAATTCTTCAAACATAAAAAAAAAGTTTGTGTTATTATTTCAACGTAGATTATCTTCACGTGGGACGAATTAGATTCAAAAGTATCGTGTCGCATAATAAATAGATCGACAAAATTCGTAAAATGGAAGATCTTCGACATACCCGCGTCAAAGAAATGTCAAAAATCAATCGAATGATTTTTAAATCATCAAATCATTTCACAGATAGGAAAAATATAAATATGCTTCCCCATTAAAAAAAATATTTATTTTTATTTCATTTTTTTTTTTTGTAAATCCGATAGTTCTTTTATATATATCTTTCCTCCAAACAAATTAAAGAAAATAATCGAGAAACTAAATTGTATATTGAAAAAATGTACAATAAAAAAATGTACAAAAGAAGCTGATAATAATAATAATAATAATAATAATAAAAATAAAAAAATAATAATAATAGTAATAATAAAAAAAATAATAATAATATAATAACTTCCCGCAAAAAAAAATCAAACTAGGGAAGTAATTATTAATTGTCTTTTCGAGGGAAAAAAAATTTTTTTTTTGAAACCGTGTACTTGGTCTTTATCGACAAAAGACAAATATTCAATGTCCTTTTTCGTTCCCTCCATTACTACCTAAGGTTCTGATTCTTTTCAAATGGTTATTGCGTAATATGTAGCTTATCAGGTATTTGATTTCGATCGTGAGACATAATGAACCACTTAAAGTATTCATACATCGACCAACAAATAGCAGTTGAAGGTACATGTGTTAGTACTCTTGGTCTCAACCCTCTCAAAAAACCCTTTAAACCATTTCGTTCGTAAATCAATCGAAAGGATGCCAAAAGACCATTACAATTTCGAATACGAAGATCATCGGAATTCCCCCGTGTCTGTAACAAGGTCTTTGCAACATCTAAAGGCGTTGTTGCGGCAGCGGCTATTGCACCTGCAAGACCTCCAGCTATAACATGAGTCTTTGGATCGTATTGTCCATTTGGATTTAAGACCTTGCGAAAATATTCATAAGAACTAAATTGAACCACTTGAAAGGGAATGGTCATCGTGAGCGTAGTAGGATAAGATATGTAGAAGGCTATCAACCCTTCTCTTGCATATACCGATCGTGCGCATTCAAGCACATTACGATACTTTGATCCGTGAACTTGCATTCGTTGTTTGATAACTGCAAGAGAGAAAATTTAGGTTAGGTTTTGGTAACTGAAATATTTCTTTTTTTTTAAAAAATAAAAAATATTTACCATCAAATGGATTCATTAATGCGTCGCTTGCTATTGTTGCGAATGCTCCTGCAGCTCCTAGAAATTTAAATTAATAATGGTTAATAATGAACAATTTTAATAGGACAAATCTTGAAAGACGCTTACCGGTCGCAAATGGATGGTGTCCTTGCGTTGCATTCGCACCAAATAAATCTTTGCAAAATTCATAAGTTCCAAAATATAAGGCATGCGCTGGACCCGCACCCAATATTACAGAATTGACTCCTCTCCACAAGGTTCGCACTCCTTCCGTTGAGGAAATACGAGAAATTGCATTTATGACACCCGTATATATCGCCTGTTTTCCTGGATTCAATATTTGCATCCTAGTCTAAATAGCATATAATGATTTTAAATAAATAAATTATGAAGAATGCGACACAAATTCTTTGAAAATAACAAAAAATTTATTGAACTTTTGTATATACATACCTTTATGCTATCTACAGGATACATGACCGTATGCTCACCTATACCAGCAAAAGCACCAGCGATCAGGTTTGCCGCCAAAGAAGAGTTAGGTAGAGCCTCATATTCATGGTCTAATATTTCTTCCATTTCTAAGGACAACGTATTCATAAGCTCGAAAAAAAAAAAATTTTTTTTATTATTATTATTTGGCTGACGAAAAATGAAAATTTTTGATAGAAGTAATTGATTGCGATATTTTTTTTTGGTAAATATTAAATTCCATCTGATAATTTAATACAAATACAAACTGATAATCCCAAATAAAACGTGTAGTATTTCAATATCAATCATGTTAATTTATATTAGTTATCAGTTTTCCCTGCATTGATTAGTTTACACAATAAAAAAAGAAATCAGATCTTTTGATTTTTCATTATCATTATTATTAATTCAATAAATATATACTATATGATACAAATCAAGTATCATGCCGCCTTTTACCTTATTTTAGTTTAACTAGATTTTATATCATTAACATTGACATAATATTTTTGCCTATCAAATTTTATCTTTTTTGTTTGAATAAATTTATGATGGTGTCTTTTGACTATAAAACGGCAGTTACGACACTTCAAGAATTGCGCAAGAGCGGAGAAAGAAAGTCCGAACTTGTTGTTTTTTTAGGCGAAAGTCTGATTAACCGAGGTTACACGGGTAAACTTGGCGATGAAGGTTTGTGAGTTCCTAGTTTGCAGTTTTAATAGATACTTTATCCATTAATCGATAGTTTTATTTAATTTAGTTTGGTCGGTATATGAACAGATATTCATCGCTGCGCTTGATTTAGAAAACGATCAATTAACCATTGTAATGTGTTCACATTTAACTTGAAAAGCAATTTTTCGTTTATTTAAAAGTAAAAAAATAATAATGCTGTTTATGACATCGAAAGAAATGTCTAGAGAACTTAAATAAAAGATTCCCAGGATCGCCTCGCGTAAAGATATTGGAAGGAATGAAATTAGAAGCTGATGATAAATTAGATTCCGCTTTAGCTTTATATGAAGACATTCTAAAAGAAGATGAAGCAAATATAGTAAGAAACGAGCATATTTAGAAAGGGTTAAAAGACAAAAATAAGCTGATTTTTGATTTGTTCTACTTAGGCAGCATCAAAACGTCGAATTGCGGTATATAAAGCCAAGGGACAGGATGGTCAAGCAATTGATGCATTGACGCGATACCTTGATGCGGTTTATAATGACGCGGAGGCATGGCTTGAATTATCAGCCTTGTATTTGAATTATCATTTGTAAGTAATATCAGAATAATGATTCAAATAACGTTAATTATGTATTTATATTTATATTATTATGTTTATTCACAGATATCAACAGGCAGGATTTTGTCTTGAAGAACTTATTTTACTTCAACCGCAAAATCATTTTTATCATCTTAAATACGCTGAAGTTTTATACACTAGTGATAATATCCCTGTTGCCTTAAAACAATTTTGCCGTGTGTTGGAATTATGCGAAGATAATATTAGGGCGCTATGTGGAATTAAATTGGTATTTGATCATAATCTCAATTGTGTCAATTTTTTTATGAAATAAAACTTTTATAAATTTTCTCAATTTTCATTTATTTTACAGTGTACGTCTCGTCTACTAAATCTGTCAAATATTTCAAATGCGTCAACTTCGAATTCCGTTTATCTTGAATCGAAAACGATTTCTGATTTGAATGCTTTAGCGGTGGAACGTTTAACTGCTATATATTCAAAAAATCAACATGGTGGAAAAACCGCGATTGAAATAAAAAATGTCGTGATCGATTGGCTGAGCCAATCTTAAGCTTATTAAATAATTTAAATAATCTTTGAAAATGTGTTCTAATTTCCATTATGCGTCCATTCTTAAAAATTTATCGCATTCTAGCGAATAATTAAATTTATTAAAATTGAATATGATCCATTTTTATTATACTCGTGAAAAAAAAAAATCAAGAGTTTAAAATTTTCTTAATTTAAGAAGCGATAGTAACTTCAACTTCAACACCTGGTTCGATTGAAATGGAAGTCTAGAAATATAATATGATTAAAGCCATTCAGTGATACGTATATATATACATATATATATATTATATAATTAATTCCACTTACAATTTGTTTCACAATTTCACTAGGAGAAAGCAAATCAATCAAACGTTTATGAATTCTCATTTCATATCTATCCCAAGTTTTACTACCTTCACCACAAGGTGATTTACGAGTGGTAATTCTCAAAACTTTAGTAGGAAGACGTACAGGTCCTTTAACATTTAATTGTTTCTCATTCGCTCTTCCAATCAGGTCAGAACAAACTTTTTCAAGAGCTTTAACATTACGAGAAGTTAAAGTAATACGGATGCGATGTTTCTAAAGATTTTGAAATTAATCGATTAAATTTTTTTTTTTTTTTTTTTAAAAAAAAAAAAAAAAAGGTGTTATTTAAAATACTTGAGGCGCATCTTCAACATATTCATCTTTACCCTTAGCGACATAACTCATGGTTTCTTATTTTTTATTTATTTGTTTTCTTTAAAAAAAAAAATAATAAACCAAATGAAGACAGCGGTGACTAAGGTATATAATAACGAAGGAAAAGAGAGAAACACGATTCTAGATCAAAAGTTATTATAAGATTTTCAAAAAAAAAAAAATTTTTTTTTGATCGATTAATGATTGGTTAAAATTTTTATATAAATGTTCTGCCTTAAAGTGTTACGTAAGCGATTTCAACTAAGCTCGAATTTTCATGTCTTTAAAAACACTGGAAGCTGACAATACTCAGCTGTTTACTAATGAATCCACCTATAAACGTTCAAAACGAAATCATGTTACTCGGGATTCTCTTAATAATTTAGTTCAAGAGAATAAACGAGATTTTGTGAAAGTTTTCTCTGACGAACTTAACCTCCATGTCTTTAGGTATTTGACAGCTGCTGACTTGAGCATTTGTACACGAGTTTCTCGGAAATGGTGGAGATTGGCTAATGATCGTCAGGTAAGTTTTCGTCGTCGTTTAATAAATTGAAATTGACCGATTCGACTCAATAAAAAATTTATTAAATTTGCATTGCAAAAAAGTTATGGAAAGATCTTTTCTTGTCCCGATTCAAAGCTCCTAAACGTCCCAATCTTACCTATCGCCTTGAAAGTCTTCAAATGATTCCATCACAAATGAATAGCATTCCAAAATTTCAAATCTTACCTGACAGAACGTGTGATGATATGACAGATGAAGAGGATTGGAAAAACATATATAGAGTCAGTCACAATTGGCAAACAGGAAATTGTCGTGTGATTGATTTCAAACCTTACGTTGATCTTAACGAAAATCAAATGCAAGATTTTTCCTCTATGGCAGGGTCATCAAAGATTCAACCTACTGATTCTTTTACACCATTTCATACCAATCCAACCCCTCCCGCTAATTCTAACCCCCTTGTTCAATTTACCAGACATGTCATTTTAACTGCTTCATTTTCCAGTGTTAAGAACATTCCCGAAGTGCATCTTTGGCGCGCTGGAAAACAGAATGAACATATAGATACTCTGCGTAGCGAGATCTTGTATAAGACCATGCAGAAATCTAAATTTCCAATTGTTATCACTTGTTTGAAGTTGGATAGCAATGAAGGGAAAGACGATGCTGGAATGCATAAAATATTAGCCGGTTATTCAAATGGTGGTTTTACCATTTGGGAATTTGATTCAATGGAAAGGTCAAGCACTGACGATGATAGAACCATAAGAAAATGGAGACACCGGGAAATCTATACCTTGCAATCAGCGTCACGCGCGCAAAATCCGCTTATTGCTTGTGCTTTACATTTTCCAGTTTTGGTGACTTGCACCGAAGATTTTGAGTTGTCAATATATTTTATGGATTATAAACAGAATGATAGTGTACAATTTAATACATCGATTGAAGGTAATGAATCAGCAGTGAAAGTCGATTGTAGACTTGTTCATCAATTAAGAAGTTTTGTTTGTTGGGCGCCAATTGAAATATCTGTGGAATCCATTACTGAAGATTCCACACAATCATCCTTAATGAATTATTCCTCTCGGGACGTATGGAAGGCAACGATTGCTTATTCTGTTCCTTTATACGGAGGTGGTTGGACAGTAGGCGTTCAAGAAATAAAATTTTCATCTACGCAGCTGATTTCAACACGACATTGTTCTTCTTTGCCATCCTTTATTCCAATTCTCGCGGAGGATAATTCCGCCGAGAATATTGAACAATTTTCTTTTGCTCCCATTACGACAATCACATACAATTCCGGTCAGTTAATTACGGCACATTTTGATAATACTTTACAAGTTTATCACGTGTTGGAACAAGGAAGAAAATTAGAGTGTAGACATGAATGTACATTATATGGGCATACAGGAAGCGTCATGAGCGTTGCTTTAGATGAACATGGTAAGTTAATAACCGGATCTATGGATCATTCGATAAAGATATGGGATTTGGGATGGAATTTGATGAAAAATAATGACGTTCGAAAAAGCAAAGATCATAATCATCATCATTATCAGGATACTGAATTTTCAACAGTTGGAATAAGCGCAAAGAGGAAGAAACATGGTGAATGTATCGTTACTTTAAGCGATTCTTTAAATAATGTAAGAGAAAATAATCATTTTGGAATAAAGTGGGTTGGATTTGATGAAGGAAGGATTGTTAGTGTTTGTGGTGGTAAAACTACCACCAAAAAGGATAATTTACGAGGAAGCGTCAATAATAATGACTTTAATAAAAGGACATTAAATCCTCCACCAGGATGGACAGGTTCAGTAACTAGAGAAAAAGGTGATTCTCAATCCAATGAGATAGAAGATGTGGGAATAATTAAAGTCTGGTCATTTTGTGATGAATGAGATTAAGAATAGCATGCTAAATAATAATTATAATTATACATAATATTAATAATATATATCTATGTATATGTATATATATAATTTTTTTTTTTTTTTTTTGATAGTAATTTATTAGTAATTTTTTTTTTAATTTATAAAATTTAGTGATAATTGTTAATAATTAATTAATTGATTATAATAGATCATTTGTCAATTATTATCCAATTATTAATTCACGCTTCAGTTAATAATAAGGAAATTTCATTGATGAAAATAATCATTTAAGAATTATTTTTTTGATTTATTTTTTCCTTCTTTATTATCGTTACCGTTAATTAGTTTTACGATATTAAATTTTTGACCGCCACCAACAGATTCAGCTCTAGAAGCGATTACTTGTTCAATGTTTTTATTTATAGCAGCCGTCAGTTTCTAATAATTATTTAATTCATTCAATAAATCATTTTTAAGGTAAACCCAGGTTTAAATTAAGGTTAGGTTTACCTTTTGAATTGATTGTTGTTTTATCAATGATTGTTTTTTTGGTGCAATTGATTTTGCTAATGGGAAAAAAAATTTTTTTAATATTCATAAGTTTTCGTAACTTTAATAACATATCTTCAAATGAATCGGTTGACAAAAAAAAATACCTCCTTTCTTTGGTTTAACTCTATGGTTATTACCATTTGACTTATTAATAATTGATTTTGTTTTTGTAAGTTTTCGATTATTATTATTAACCTTAAACTTTTTTGCAAGTGGGCCTTGCGCCATATTTGCTATTGATAAAAACGGTTCAATGGAAAAAAAAAAAAAAAAAAAAAACAAAAAAATCAAAGATTTCCCCCTCGTATTTATGGTTCGAATTTTCAAAAAAAAAATTTTTAGGTTGTTTTTATTGGATGATCAAATTACATCACCATCATACTTGTTTTTTTATTTATTTTTTTTTTTTAAAAAAGAAAAAATAGATCAAAAGGTTTTTTCTTAATAAAAAAAAAGATGGCTTTAAAAGTTCCAAAGAGTAGTTACCCTCAATTATTTAAAGAAGGTTACAAGGTATGTTTTATGCGGTGTTATACTATTAACTTGAATAAACTTGAAAAAAAATTGGCTTCTTGTTTAGTAACTAGTTGTAAGAGATATCCTGGCTTTTATCTTTTTTTTTAATGAGGATATTGTTTGACGAAATGAAATGATTGCGCGTCATAAAATGTATGAAGCATTACTCTTTTTTTAATACGTTATGATTTAATCGAAATAAAATAGAACCTTCAAGGTATTGAAGAAGCTGTGCTGAAAAATATTCAAGCAATCCATGAACTATCAGAAATTGTTAGAACTTCCTTTGGACCAAATGGTGCATAAAATTTAATTAATTAGGTCAATCTTGAGATTTACATGTCAATTTAATTAACACAAATTATCATCATGAACGTCAATTTAATAGGACGAAATAAGATGGTCATCAATCATCTTGAAAAACTTTTTGTCACAAATGATGCGGCTACCATAATTCGTGAATTAGAAGTCGTGCACCCTGCGGCAAAATTATTGGTAATGGCAAGTCAACAACAGGAACAAGAGGTGTTTATCATTTCTAAACTTGCATAAGATGTCAAATCACTTCTTAATTATTTATTCATTTATTTCTTCTTAACAGGTTGGAGATGGTACAAATTTCGTCATAATCTTTGCAGGTGAACTCCTTCAAAGGGCCGAATATCTTCTTAGGATGGGACTTCATCCAAGTGAAATTGTTCAAGGTTATGAACTTGCAAGCGTAAAAGCTTTAGAAATTTTAGAAGGTAATCAAAAGTCATCCAAATTTAGATTGATTGTTACGCGACCTAGTGTTAAATCGTATTATTTGTATCATAGGTTTATCGGTTGATAGTGTAAAAGATATTAGATTAAAGGGTGAATTAGAAAAATCAATTAAAACATCGATTGCATCAAAACAATATGGTTATGAAGATTTACTTAGTGATTTAGTTATTGAAGCAACATTATTGGTTTTGCCAAAAAATCCTCAAAATTTTAATGTAGATAGCATACGTATAGTTAAAATTTTGGGTAGTAATATTCATGAGAGTAGGGTAGTAAAGGGTATGGTATTTGGTAGGGAACCTGAAGGTATTGTAAATCAAGCATCAAAATCAAAGATAGCGATATTCACATGTCCATTAGATTTAACCCAAACTGAAACGAAAGGTACAGTATTAATTCATAATGCAAATGAAATGTTAAATTTCACCAAAGGTGAAGAGCAACAAATTGAGAAAATTCTTAAAGAATTTGAGGATGCTGGTATTAAAGTAGTGGTAACAGGTAGTTCTGTCGGTGAATTGGCTTTACATTATTTAAATAGATATAATATTATGGTGGTAAAAGTTTTATCCAAATTTGATTTAAGAAGATTATGTAGAGTTGTCGGTGCTAGTGCTTTGGCTAGGTTAGGTGTTCCTACCGCCGAAGAAATGGGTTATTGTGATATTGTTGAAACTGTTGAAATTGGTGGTGATAGAGTGACGGTTTTCAGACAAGGTGAGTACAGTAATACGGAATTTCTTAATCTCTCTTTCGATGACAAAGGTGTTGTTAAAGGACGTAATTTTATTTTACATTCTTAAACAGAGGATGAAAGTTCAAGGACTGCTACTATCATTATTCGTGGTGCTACTCAAAATACTCTTGATGATGTTGAACGTGCCATTGATGATGGGGTTAATAATATCAAGGCTATTACAAGGGATCCCCGTCTTGTTCCCGGTGCTGGTGCTACTGAAATAGAATTAGCTAAACAATTAACTTCTTATGGAGAGGTATATTTCGGAAATCTTAATATGTTTGCATCTTTTCTAAAATAAGAAAATGGGGGAGGTTTTTAACATTCATTTTTTTTTTTCTTTTTCCTCCTTTTTTTCGATTATTCAGAAAACTCCTGGTATAAATCAACATTCAATTAAAGCATTCTCTCAAGCGCTCGAAGTGTTTCCACGTACGCTAGCCGAAGATGTTGGTCTAGATACAACGGAAATTTTATCAAAACTTTATTCAGCTCATCACGAGCCAGCAAATGAATGTGAAACCGATGGAGATAAATCCGGTGTTCGTATCGGTGTTGATATTGAGAATTACGATATTGTTGATGTTACTAAATTACCTAATCCTGTGTTGGACGGTTTATTAACCAAACATTGGGCCATCAAATTCGCTACCGATGCTGCTTTAACCGTTTTAAGAATTGATCAGGTACGTAATGTACACTTTTTAGGGAGTGTCAATATTTATATAAATATTCATTCATTCATTTTCATTCATTAGATTATTATGAGTAAACCTGCCGGTGGACCTAAACCTCCTCAACAAAATGCTAATTGGGATGAAGATTAATTTTTTAATTTAATATCTTGTAAAGCAATTCGTTTTGACGTAATATATTGTGCGGTTATAAATAATAATAACGTATTTATTATCGTTACGTTCAATAAATTTCCCAAATTGAAAAAAAAATTGATAAAATAAAAATAAATGAAAATCTCGTAACGTTTCTTGAACCTTTTATTTATATGCTTGTGTGATCGTAATTCTTTTTGATCTAATTCTTTATAATATATTAATTTTTTTTTTTTATCTTTATATTTCATCAAAAAAAAAAAGAATGCTGTATAAATAAAAAAATAATATTTGTTTCAAGAAAAAAAAATATTGCATAATATCGATAAAATAATCTATTCACCCCACTTCATATCCCAAACTTCTTTCACCCCTTAAAGTGAAAATCCATTAAAGGACAAATTGATTATTAGTAGTATCATCCAACAAATTATTATTTTCAACAACGACCGTAACATCTAAAGGTTGCTCGGGTTCATATAAACAATTATATTCAGGTCTAAAAATGTTATCATTACCAGTTTGTGGATAATAATTATAATTGTAGGTTTGTTCATGTAACCTCCATTTATTTCTTCTTCTATTAAAATCCAGGTGAAGTATAGGTGATGGGGATGACAACGGATCTGACAATTGACCGGTTCCATCATTTATTAATAATATTTCAGCTTCTATAGTATATGATCTCATTTCATTTACTACACATCTCATCCATCCTTGTATAGTTTGTCCTGCGTTAACCGCTAACGGTTCCTTTAATAAAAATCTTACTTGTTGCCAGTGTGTTCTCTCCGCCGATGGGTTTGTTGTCATGGTAACTGGATTACCATTTGGTATCGTGGCTGGTGGTGAAAATTGTAAATCAAACCATCCTGCTATACCATGAACAATTCCCGTATATGATGCTTGCCAAATAAATGGTACTGTAAAATCTTGTAATTCTTCTAATTTTATTGTATAGAAATCAATAATAAATCCTCCTGGGTTAGCTGGTGCAATTAAGGTACGTGGATCGAAACCTCCAACGACAGGCATTCCTTTTTTTTTTTAAAAAAAAAACAAAAAATTATTATCATTAAGAGCAAATGTCGCGAAGAAACAGAAAAAAAAACAACAACTTTATAACTTACCAAACATTTCATCTTTAGCATCGGTATATAATGAAGTTAAATCTACACCGTAAAAAGATGGTTGTTCCCAAAACCTCGCTTTACTCATAGTCTCACTCCACAAAGCAGCATCTGTAAAAGGGGCAAGAAATATCGATCCAGTTGAAGGAAAAAGGGTACCTCCAGGTTTTAAATAATGATCTCGAGCATAAAGGTAACTTTCAAGCTTTCATTTACACACGAAAAAAAAACAATTGAATTATTATTAATGTATGAAAAGATTATTACAAAATAAGGTTAATAATAATTAATAGGAACTACAAAAATAAAAATAAAAAGTTTTAATATACATGTATACCGTATACGGTATACGCATATATTATTAATATAAGCAAGGATTCTAAACATGCGTTAAGAATCCTTAAGTATATTATCTCACCATAATCTTACCATTCTCTCATGAATCAACAAAACCCCTATAGGTTCAGAAATAATCGTGTCGACTTGCGGAATTGGAAGATTTGGTTGTTCAATCTTGGCTGTAACAAATTCAAAGGAATTAGCATAAAGTTTATACTCAAGTTATAAAATACTAGTGCTTCGGGCGAAACCCTTTCGTACAATGATACTTTCATTTCTTGCCGAAAGCTTAATTTGGAAACCATTTGTAAATCAAAATTAAGCGAAACAAGTTTTCGCCCGAAATACGATTTATACATACCCTGAACGACTTCAATCTTATCCTTTAAGAAAGCATTCTTTCCCAAGGCTTCGGCATCTGAAGAATTAGCAGCATCGACAACCTTTTGCATTTTCTCGGCCATATTTGAAGCTTCAACTGCAAATACTTTACGCGCTCCAGCTTGAACCGCAAAGTATGATAGGATCCCTGAGCCTAAACAAAAATAAACACATTATTAAAACGATTTTTGTCATTAATTAAAGAATAAACTGTATTTATATAGCATACAAACCAGCACCAACGTCCAAGACTAGTTTGTCTTGAAAGCATACAGGACCATTCAAAAGTATTGCCGAGCGGTAAGTGGAAGTTCGTACTGTATCTTGAAGCATATTTTGCTGTTTGTTAAAACAAAACTCTCTGTTTAACAAAGCCACCAGGAGTTTTTTCTTTGAGACGCGTTTGGAACTAAGTTCTTGAAAACCACCTGATGCTGGAGCATGGCATAATACGAAAAATAGGCAGGATCACGTCCCTCTGTTGAAGGAGCCTTGTTGCTTGCATTTAAAGGACCGTTCGACTCTGACAACATTTCTTATTTTCAAACTAAACAAAAGATTGTAAAAAAAAAAAAAAAAAAAAAAAAAAGAAAGAAGAAAGATGAAAGAAAGAGAGAAAGAAAGTAAGAGAGAGAGAGAAAAAAAAATCGAGAAAAAGATCTCAAGAAAAGTCAAAAAGGGCTATCTCGGTTGGATCGAATCAGATTTGGAATCGTGATCGTGCATGATGTCCGACGCTCAAAAATTGAGTCGAGATCCATAGAATATTCGATCAAAATAAAAACGCATAATAAATTATTAAGTAACGAAGCATATGTAGTACTTCGCTGCAGCCTATAATAATTAGGTAGGCTAAAATAAAATAACCGACAAGAGCACGTGATTATGCAAAAATGACTGCAGGATTTTATAAATCATGATTTTTGCAAATAGTTATAAATGGGCACTTATTTAGCAAATGGTTCAATAGAATCAATGTGATAAAATCATGCCAATAATGCCTAATACACGTTCATTTTAAGGGCAAATCACCAAGTATGTCTCGTTCAAACCATTGTTGTCATTAACATAATTATGTGCGAAAGTTGGTTTTCTATTGGTAATATTTCAAAAAAAAAAAAAAAAAATCTAAAATTAACGTTGATGATTTTTTTTACAATAAAAGAATATAATATTTATTGTAATTAAAATTCTTTTACCATTCTTTACTGGATCAAATTATAATTCATTCAATGGTTCGTTGATAATACTAAAAGATCCGGTCTAAAAATCGATCATAATGTTGTGTTACACTCGTGTCAAAAATTTGTATAAACACAATTAATCATCCACGTGATTTCAGCTGTAATTTTTTATCGTTTCCTAATTCAAAGCCCCTTCACATTAGGATCTTGTCTCCATGGCAGAACTCACTTTTTATCTAATTTTTGTTTCCTTTGCAGTCGTATTAGGTTCATTACAATTTGGTTATCATGTAAAGTTCACATTTCATTCGAATGAGTTTTTATTTATTGTTTAATTTAAAATAATTTCTTACAATTAGATCGGAGAACTTAATACACCAAAAAGTGCAATTTCATGTGAAAATATTCCGTCAGATGGACCTTATGATGGTTTTCTTTCACCATGTATTCCAATGAATGAAGGAGAGTTTAGTTTGCTTACATCAATTTTTAACTTGGGTGGATTAGTCGGAGCATTAATTTCTCCACGCGTCGCTGATAATAAAGGAAGAAGATGGACTTTGATGTTCAATACAATTTTTTTACTCCTTGGACCTACCACGATGGGATTTTCTAGTTCTTTTACCACATTAGTTTTTGGTAGAGTAATCTCCGGTATTGGTAGTGGCGTGGTAAGTTGCGAAACTATGGGTCGTGTCATTTTAAAATTTTTTATTTTTAATTTTTCAAACAATTATAGGTTAGTGTAGTTGTCCCAATGTATCTCGCTGAAGTCTCACCTGCAGAATATCGCGGTACCTTTGGTAATTTTTCATTTTTAATATATATATATTTATATATATATATAAATTTGTTATAACAAAAATTTTTTCATTTATCAAAGGTGTAATGAATCAACTTGGAATTGTAATTGGTATATTATTTTCACAAGTCCAAGGATTGTATCTTTCATACATACCAGGATGGAGAATCATTATATTGTTTGCGTCAGCTTTATCAATTGTACAAATGGTTTTTCTTGGATTTGCGACAGAATCACCAAAATACCTTGTAACAACACCGGGAGGATATCAATCAGCAAAAAGAGCTTTACAACGATTAAGAGGTAGAATTGACGTAGAAGAAGAATTAGGGGGATGGAGACAGGTAACATCAGAAGAAGGATTAGAGGGATTAATCAGTCAACAACAGGAAGAAGACACGTTAAATTCACAACAACAATCAGAGTTGTCACCACAAAATGTTCCAGAAGTTGACACAGTAGAATCACCACCTGTAGTTTTTCTTGCAAGAAACACCTGCTCAGATGATTTCAGTATATGGAAATTTGTTACTAATTTACATTATAGACCAGCATTGAAGGTATTATTATTTGTACAATTTACACAGCAATTTTCAGGTATCAATGCGGTAATATTTTATTCTACAACGATATTATCAACAATATTACCAACATCAAGTGATTTAATTACGGTATATATTAGCATAATGAATATGATCATGACCATCATATCAGCATATTTGATGGATAGGGCAGGAAGAAGGACATTGTTACTTTACTCAATATCGTTGATGAGTTTATGTTCGATTTTATTAGCATTTAGTATAACGCATGAATTAGCATTACTTTCTTCAATATCAATAATTGGATTCGTAGCCACATTCGCTATCGGATTAGGTCCTATACCATTTTTAATCATACCTGAAATAGTTGATACTCGTGCTGTAGCGACAGCGTCTAGTCTAGGGTTATCCGTAAATTGGATAAGTAATTTTTTAGTCGCTTCATTATTTTTAGAAGGTCGAGTAATGTTAGGAGGTAATGTTTTTTATATCTTTGCAGCCTATTTAATCATAGCCTATATTATTGCTATACGTATTTTACCAGAAACCAAAGCTAAAACTGTTGAAGAAGTTTGGCGTGGTTGGAACGGAAAGTTTGTTAAATAATTAAATGAACATTGGTGAGATTATTATTAAAAATACTGTATATTCATTTTATTTGTAAGAACATTAGTCACTTTTATTAGTAATAAAAAAAATATATATATATATATATAATTTATTATAAATGATAATTTGAAAAATGAGTTTCTCCGAATATAAAAAAAAAAAAGTTGATTTCATTCCAGTATTTTCACTCAATTCCGAAAATCTCCAGCAGTATTTCAATGACGCGCTTAATATAGAATTTATCCTCTATATCTAAACACTTTACCATCCAATCTTGAATATTTTGCCATAATTTTACCACAATTTGGACAAGAATGATAACTATCTTTTAAATCAGTTATCTATTATTATAAAGAGGGATAAGGGAAAAAAAAAAAAAAAGGCAAAGAATTAGTAATACCTTTTAAAGCAATTAAAAATAAATAATTATACATAGACACACTTACACAGAAGGGAATTAAACAACAACCACCACCAATGCCCAAGAATAATAAGACAAAACTTGTCAACCAAGTACAACCACCAACTTCAAAACGAACGCTACTCAAAACAACCTGTCGACAATGAGGGCAGGTTGTCACAACTGGTTCAGTGCGTAAAGCCTCTAAAGGTACTGCCGCTGTAAGTACGACCGTTTCAGGAGCTTGATAAATTCCTCTGTTTGTAGGAGGGGAGTAAGATAAGTTGGGAGTAGGCGTATAGGTGTTTGTAGCAGTATATGACTGTGGTGGTTTTGAATTCAAACGAGTTTGTTCAGTAGCACCTCCTTCGTTTGTAACAACAGAAGTGTTGGTATTTGAACTACCAGCTTGCTCTGGTGTATATGGGGGTGGCGGTGCGTCTTGATCTTTTTGTTCCCGATCTCCAACTTTATTAGACTTACTATCCATTTTTTTATTTATATATTTTTATTATTTTTTTTTTTGATTTTTGAAGACTTATATCGTTGATCGTCTGACTTTCATCTGAACCATTTATAATATTTATACTTAGCCCTACTTCTTTCGGAGAATTCCCTATTGTAACCATTATAGAATATTATCAATGTCAACAATAGCCTGATATGGCCTAGATTTTCGGCCGCCAAAGAATTTATTGGCTGCGCACGTCTGTTATACATTTTTAATTTTATTATTTGTCTATAAGTCTATTGAAGAGGATAAAAAAAAAAAAAAATACATCAATTCACTCATTGAAAGGTCATTCCCAAGAAATAGGATTTTTACCATATAAAGATTGTTTGCCGTGTTCTTGTTGACTAATTAGTTCTCTTTTTCTTTGAACATAAATTTCTTTAGGAGGAGCAGAATGATTAATTGATGATACTGAAGTATAATTGTTTTCTAAGGGGATTGAAGAGGAAGAGAGAGCTGGTGAAGAATTATTGAAAAGTGGTGAAGTGTAATAATGATGATTTGGTGTAAGAGATCTTGTATGTCTATGATAAGTTCCTGATCTTTCACTCGATAATTTACTTTCTGTAGAATGTCTACGAGTATGAGCTTTATTAAGTAAATGTAAATTTGGGTTATCTAAATGATGAAATTCAATCAAAATTTAATCTTTTCATTCGTACGAAAAAACGTGAAAACGTAACAGACATCATGAGACAAATACCTGGTAAACCATACTCGTCAAACACAACAAAATTATTCGGCTGTTGAACAAAATTTTCTAAATTATAATGTTTCTTTAAGAATGATCTAAATTTATCTGAAGGTCTATCAAATGCTAATTTACAAGGATTAATAACTTGTTCATTTTTTAACATGTATTCAAACATTTGTTTGCCATAACCTGATCTTTGACAACTTTCATGTACGTAAAAATCTAAAACACACAAAGGTTCAATTTCATGTTGCCTTCCTTTCCTATCCTTTGTAAGTTTTTTTGACAAAGTTAGGTTATTTATCAACATAATAATAATCAATCGGCTACGTTAGTTTTAGGTCAAGTTAAATTCGTACCACGATAAATAATTTTTTTATTCCAACTTTAAGGATTCCAACTACTGTCTTATTTTCTTGATCTTTCATTAAGTATAATTTATGTGATGATGATTGGAACTTTTCCATAGTCGTTATAATACTTTTCAAATATTGTGCCTAAGTTTTATGTATGAAAAATCTTTTTTTATTATATTATTCTCGTTATTATTGTTGGTAATCATTACCTTTGAAGAAGCTTCCCCCATCGAGTCAATAATCATGCAAAGACTTTCCTGTTTACTTTCATTAATGTAATATTATTATTAGGTTTTTTTTTTTTTTTTAATTTTTTTTACCATATCCAAGTAAAAGTAACAGAACTTTTACCTCGTCTTCCCACGAACATAGACCAGGTCTTCCGCAGTAATAACAGAGATGATGTTTGGGAGTGCACTCAATACATTCCCTGAAAACTCCATAATTAAAACGATTTGAAAAAAATTATTTTTTTTTGAAAATCCCTTTGAAATAAAACTTGAAAGCGCTTTTTAAAGCCTTTTTTAAACCGATTGGTTCACAGTTTGTGTGACGCATCATTGATTGAGCAAATTTAATTATAAATAGTTGAATTCTTAAACCAAGCCTCCCTTGTCAAAAAATATTTGATTGCTATTAATTGAATTGATTGAAAAATGTTAAAAAATAAACAAAACTTTTCCGACGACGAAGAAAGTCGACTTGATGAAACTGATGGAGGCTGGAGCGTCGAAGAAGATACCGGGCAAGATCAACAAAATGACGAAACAAATTATGACGAATATAACGATTATGAGCAAGATTCAGAAGAAATCGAAGACGATGAAGAAGATGATTATGGAGGAAAAAGGGTAAGTACTTTTACTAGCTCGATCTAATAATTTGAAAATGTAATGTTGCTAATTCGTTTTTTCAATATAAACAGCGAGATAAAAAACGTCACAAGGGTAATAAGAATGATCCGAGTAAATTCATTTTAAATGAAGCCGACGTAGACGATGAGGAAGAAGACGAAGATGAAGACGAAGATGCGATTTACGATAAAGAATGTAAATATATCTTTAGTTATGTAAAATTTAAATTTTCATTAATACATTTATTGAATGTACGAGCAACTTTTTTAATATTTAGATTTCATCGATAATAGAGAAATTGAGACCGAATTGAGCACTTATCATCGGGACAATAGACGTGCTGTCGCTGAAATCGAAAGATCAGTATTCGAGGAAGATAATTTTGATGCTGAAAGGGTAGCTCAAGTACTCAATGAACGTTATCGTAGAACCGCGGGTAGGCTAAGTGATGATGAAGAGGATTTAACTAAACCTGAAATCGCTACTGTCGATAAATTGTTTGCTGTAAAGTGTAGAGTGAGTAAAATTTTTGGTTTCAAACAGTTCATTATAAACAATTTGAATTTGAAAATTAACACCAAAATTTATTTTCGTAGAAAGGACATGTATTTCATGCAATTGACAGATTAGAGAATTTGAAGAAACTTCGATCCGATCCATTGAAAATTAAAAGAGTTATTGCTATCGATGGTATCGAAGACTTCGTGTACATAGAAGCTGATAAGGAACAAGACGTTCAAAATGTGAGTAAAGTGATATTATCTAGATACTCAAGTTAAATATCAATAATATTTATCAAAATGTATTTTTTTTTCACATCGTATAGGCGGCTATGAGATGTAATAAGTATTTATATTCTTCAAAGAAGAACATAAAGAGACTTAGTCCAAAAGAAAAGCAGGATTTAATGGCCCCAAAGAAGCCAAGATTAAATATCCAAATTGGTTCATTTGTTAGAACTAACAAACGTGACGAATATTTCGGGGATCTTGCCAGGGTATTTTTTCATTTAACTTTAATCTTGTTAATAGTATAAAAACTGAGCTCATATATATATACCCTTTTATAGGTCACTTCGTATAGTACTGATGAAATAATAGAGGTTGAGATTATTCCACGCATACTTGTAGATCAAGATGGAGCCTCACTTAAGCGTAAACGTAAAGATACAGATACTTATACAAAAACATATAATAGAGGTTATATGAAAGTCAAGTATAAGATTAAAGATCTGATTTATTCAAATATGGATCTGTTGTTGCAAGACGTTGAAGATTTTTTAAAGGCAAAATTTGACAATGGTAACTATCAAACAGTAATAGTATGATTAACTAATGTGAACTTATGTGTGTTTATATATTTTTTTTTTTTTTTCAGAGTCCATCATGATGGAACTTTCAAATGTGGCTAGTAAGATTACTGTTTACGAAATACAAGATGAAATCAAAGTTCTTCAAGGATCTCTCAAAGGTTCAGTCGGTACCGTAATATCGGTTAAAGATGGTGTTTTAACCATCACTGATAAAGAGAATGGCGGTAGAATTTTTAAAGTGAATTCAGAAGAATGCGTTAAAAATATTAATGTTCATGATTATGTGCAAATCACGAACGGTCCATATCAAGGTCAAAGTGGTTTTGTTTTTAATTGTGACAGACATGTTATGACCATGTATTTAGATCATACCAACAAACAGGTATTTTATCTCATTCATCCCTTCTCTTTTAAATAAAATATCTCATATATTTTTACTTATCAACATTATAATAGATTTCGGTCTTTGCCAAAGATTTAAAAAAAGGTGTTCAAAATTCTATCGTTAATGAATTTGGCGGATTTAGATATTTTGATTTAGTTCAATTAAAAGATTCTTCAGTTGGAATTATCATTGATATTAGAAAAGCTCAAAAAAACTATGAATATGACGTGTTGAATTCCGAAAATAATTTAGTCAAAAGTGTTACGACGGCAAGTATAACGAGATCTTTGCATGACGCAAAAAGTCAAACGTTTAAGAAAGGTGATCAAGTTGTTACAAATAAAATGGAAAGTATTAATAAGCAGGTGGGAAATTATTTATAATATATGTATGTAATAATTATAATTGTGTCAAAACGAAATTCAAAAATTCAAAAAAAAATGCACATATATATATATATATATATATTTTTAAATAGCTTTATGAAGTTTTTCGTATATATGAAGCTTATGTGTTTGTCAGAACTTACGATGATGATACAAACTTGGGATTTTCATGTTTCAAAACTAAAGATTTAAAATTAAAATATGAATCAACCAAGGTGATTTATCTAGATATATATTATTGTTAAATGTTTTCTGAAAAAAAAATATATTAATATATTGGTACGCAAATTAACCTTTTCGATATTTTAGTCCTCCAAAGTTAATGATCAACAGATTACCTTTCCTAAACAGAGATTTCGTGATAATCACAATAATAGAGGAGGGGGGGGTCGTGGTGGAAGAGAAGGTCGAGGCAGAGGACGTGGTCGATCGATATACCGACATCCTTTATTAAATAAGAGAGTGCAAGCATCACAAGGTGCTCTTAAAGGATATCAGGGTACGGTTAAAGGGGTATATGGCAATATGGCAGATGTCGAATTTGATGCCAAATTAACGACTGTTAAAGTTGAACTCGAACAACTCTTTCACGTCAAGTAAGGACTTATCTACGTTAAAATTAATTTTTTTTTTTGAAATTCAAATAACTTTATATGAATTATGTTTATATAGTGAGAAAGGAGAAGCATTGGATCCAGTTATACCAAGAAATCGTGAATCTAGTAGAGGCTCCATGGAAATTAGTCCTGGATTAAGCTCATACTCCGAACCAAGTTGGACAACGGGATTAAGTAAACAACAAAAGAGTTGGGGATATTCGTTGGGATCTACTATGACATCAAATACACATTTATTGGATAGTGCGAACAGTGGATTGAATATGGATGGGAGTAAAACACCCGCATTACATAGCAGCGGATTACTTAGTGGCAGTAAAACTCCGGCGTTACGTAATAGTAGCGCAAACCATAGTAATAATAACCATACATCACTTGGATCAAAAACGCCAGCATGGGATCTTGGTAGCAAAACTCCTGCATATGGACTAATGTCAGACGGTAGTAAAACGCCTGCATGGGATTCAGGAAGTCACACACCACATTCCTCCGGTATAGTAGGTGGTAATAGTGGTAATAATAGCGTCAGTAACATAAGTAACATATTCGGGGGTAGTAATAGTAGTTCGGCCACAGCTAATACGAATGCGACGATAAATATTACCTCTGTTGCTGCCGAAACACCTGGATATTCAGGAATCACCAATACACCAGGATACTCAGCCGTGGCTACACCAGCAGCTGATACACCTAATTATCCTGTATTTACACCCGCAAATACCGGTAGCCTTATACCACCTACCCCAAGACCGTTTACTCCTGGTAATTTACCCATGACACCTGCCAATATGATACCACAAACTCCGTTTGCTACTCTATCTGCTAATCATGCTGTACATCATGGCCGAGATCCTAAAAAACCTCCAGATGTTAAAGGTAAAAATCGATTTTTCGGTTGCTTGCCTTTTAAACATATTCTTTAATTATTAATATAATTTTTTTGAACAAAATTTCCAGATTTTGGTGATTGGCTTACGCCAGGTATAGAAGTACGTATAGTAACAACAGGAATTCAATCATTTGAAAATGGTAGATATGATAATCGCGTCGGTATAGTAGTAAGTTTAAAAGGTCCTAGTACAGGATTTCTCAGATTAGATGATAGTGATGGCATGACTGTGACAGTAGATCAAAGTTATTTGAGACCGACTGAAGTACAAAGAAGAGATGACATTAAAGTAATTTTTGGTGAACATAAAGGCGAATTAGGTTTTTTGGCTGCTATAGATAATTTAGAAGGTGTTGTTAGGTCTCAAGGTGGTGATCATTCTTTTATTAATATTTATTATTTAGCTAAATATAGAGGTAAAGAAATTGAAGATCTTATGCAAGCACCATAGAATGGCGAAAATATTGAAATTAGAGATAATGAAGAGACGTTTAAATTTGATATTTTAATTAGATGGGTTGAAATTAACTTGATATATATATATAAGAAAGGATGCACTTTATTTTTATTATTATTATTATTATTATTAGCTTTTGTATTAATTAAATTTTCATTGTCGAAGTATTATTAAAAAAAAAAAAAAGAATCAAGAAAGGAATTGCTTCTATCTGATAATAAAAAAGGAATTTTAAATTGATTGCTAATAACAGAATTTAAATGTTAAATATCTAATATAATAAATGATAAAACTTTTTATTAAAAATAACATTTTGTTTATTTATCTTTTATTTACTTATTTTCAATTTGTAAATCAGTAAAAGATATATTTAATTAATTAAATTTATTTTTTTAATAATTGCTTAAGCAAGTTTAAAAGAAAAATGATAAAAAGAATTTATTTCGCTTTCCGTTTCGCGCTCGTCGTTTTTCGTTTTCGTTCGTCATTTTCGGGTTTCGTCGTCGTGATCGGGAACCGATATACGATGTTAATACCTAAAATAAAGGGAAAAAGAGGGCCAACGCGTGAGTGATTACTCAAAAATCCGCATTCCACGTCTGCCTAACAGAACTATTCCTTGGACCCTTTCACCACTCACAATATACAGAGTATCATTAAAACTTGATTACTCGATATCAAGTAACATTGAGCGCAATAAGTACCTTTAAATATGGACCTTGACGCGAAAGATTCCTTCACTTTTATTTTCGTTTCGTTTCATTTCGCTTGGAGTCAAGATTTCTCTTAAAAGATTAAGAAATGAAAAAAGATAAAAGAACTATTACATTCTTTCAGAAATGATAATATAGTGTGGAAAAATTTTTATTTGAGCGAGAGAGAAAATTTTGGAAACGTATCAAGTGGAGGTACTGATTATATATGCAAATCGCGTGAAACAATCGAAATTTTGAAACAATCTGCATCTTCCTCATTTTTTGACAATTCAATTACCATAATAAGTAAGTAAACACCTTGAACATTTGGGAAGATTACAATACGTGTTATATCATCGGTATAAACAATCGAAAATTTTGGAATCTTTTAGAAAAAATGTGTAATAATGTCGGTAATATATTACAACAAACATAATTTTGATTTACGTGCCATTATATATTTATTTATTGTAATACATGGTGAATAAAATTGTTTCACAAATAATAACTTATAGAATTTTTTTAAACTATTATAAAAAAGATTAATTCCTGGTGACCGAAGGTCGCTGGCTCAAATTACTACTGTAATTTGAGCCACATTAAATAACACTAATTATCATTCTTTCATACGAAGACCTTTCACGCACCATCAAATGGCATCAAAATAGTAATGGGCAGTTGGAATCACCAAAAGGACTTGGATGATACAAATATGGTTGTAGGGCAAAGCAGTGTAAAAGAACCTGACTCTTGGGTCCGATCATAAAGGCGTCCTTAACAATCCACCTTTTTATAGCAATGGGATTGGCATACTTCAACGATGATATAAAAAATAAGATTATTTCTTATTATAAATATTATAGCTACTATATATTTATAATTTCAGATAATAATTATAAAATAAATTATTTAAATAGTTATAATTGCTACTAAAGGTTAATCAAAAATTTAATTTTAATTTTTTATATTATTTTATTATATTTATAGTAAGTGATAAAAGAAAAATATAAGTATAATTAGTTACTTTTTAAAAAGTTATAACTCATCAATCATAAATACTAAAATTATATAATCTTATATTTATTTTAAAATTCAAATTTTGAAGGATATTCTAGCAAATTTAATATTAAGTTAATATTATTAATTTTATGTAATTTAATAATTTATATCAAAAATTTTTTATATAGTAAAATTTGAATATAGAAAATTTTTTTAAATAAACTAATTATCACAGAACTGATATATATCAGATTCTGATTTTTCTTAGTATAGCAATTCTAATAAGCTAAAATTTATTAGCTAATCAAGAATAATTATGTAGCAAAGATCAGTAAATATTATATAAAAATTAATTAAACTAATTTTATATAATAAAAATAATTCTTTTTTTATTCTCATTTGATTATATCTTTAAAAAAATGAAAAATTTATTTTTTATTAATTTTTTATAAATTTTGTTTATTTTTATATATAGAAGACTTTAAAAAGATATATAAATATATTAAGTAATACCAAATAACTTTAGAAAATATAAGTGACATATATCTGTTTACAGATTTTAGTTTACTTTTAATAATGATATTTAGAATTAGATCAGTCTAGTCTGATTTTATTAGTCTTAAAAAACTAGTCTTTCATTTTCTTTAGTTCATAAGTTAATCTTAGAATCAGTTCTGGATTAATCTTATATCATTCAATTTTACTAGTCTAGTCTGATCCAAGATTTATTTTTTTCTTAAACTAAATTAATTTATAAAACTGATTTAAGAATCAGTTTAAATATACTAGAAAAAATATACATATTAAATAATCAATTTAATAAATTAATTATATAAATTAATAAATAAAAAATATAATAAAATAATTACATACAAAATGATTTCTACTTCTTTTTAATTTCATTATTTCTCTATTTTCAGTATTTTTATTTCAGATATTATTATTATTAAAACAAATTTAAGAACTAACTTATAGATTAAACTATTCTATAAAAGAATGTAAACTAGATTGATCTAACTCTAATTTTGTAATATTTTATAAATAAAAAAATTTATTTAATATTTTATAATATTTAAAATAATATCTTATAAATAATAAAAAATTAGTTTAAATTAGTCTTTAGATATAAACTGAAGATTATAAGAATTGATCCTTCAATTAGTCTAAGATTAATATTATCAGAACTGATCTACAGAGGGTGAACAAAAGTTTTCAGACACTCTTATAAATACGATTTAACAAATTTTTATCATATAATCATGATACTATACTGCGGTTATATGACTGTCTATTGTTTATTTACATAATCAAAATAAAAAAATTTGTGTTGCTTTTGTTGTTTTAACTTAATTCACTTAATTTCTACCAAATCAAAAAATAATGGGACAAAATAAAGAATTAATCAAAGAACAACACAAAGTCATATTTTACTTGACCAGCCTAATATCTTGATCTTAACCCAATTGAAAATTTATAGGCTAATATTAAAAAAAATATTCGTACATATAAAAAACCACCATCGAATCTTGCTGACCTCAACTGCTATGTTAAAAAGGCATAGCGAGAAATTCTAATGCATACTATTGAAAATTTAGTTAATAGCATAGTATAGCGAATTCAGGCTGTAATTGCGGCAAAGGGAGGTCCAACCAAATACTAAAGTTTAATATGAAATGTATGCCTTAACCAGCTCTAAATAAAATAATATTAGAATTTTTACTATTAATGCTAAAGAATTATAAGTTTTTTATTTGGTAAAAAAGTGTCTAGAAACTTTGTCCACCCTCTGTATTTTTAATGATAATATATCCTTGATCTTAGTTTTAAAAAAATATTTTATTTGTATAAGTCTGATCTTTATTCAATATCATTTAATATATTTAAAAAATATCTTTTTAATAAAAAATACCTTATAACTTTTTTTTGCTTATAAAAGTTATTCATAAAAATTTTGTTTTAATAATATCATATTAGTTTTATTAAATCTTCTTTTTCTTTGAAACTTAAAATACATTAAAACTAGAAAATATGTCAAATAATTTATTTCTTGTTTGATCAGATAAATTAGAAAGATGTCTAGTAAATAACTTAAGAAAAATATTGTGATAACGGACCAATCAGGCTTAATAAAGTTAGTCTCAAGTATCTTATCTAAAATCAGTTATATAATCTCATCCAGTATATAGTTTTCTAGAATTAACATCAGATTCGTCATTACTATCTTCATTTTAATCATACTAATCTTTATTACTATCTTCTTTACCATTAGATTCAATATTGTTATTATTTTTGATGTGGATGAATTCAATTTATTACTAATAATCCTAAAACTTTTATGAGTTCGTATACCTTATCAAACTCATCACAGGTATTAAGATCAGAATTGAATGAGTTTCATTTCATAATAGCTGATGAAAATATGCGAATAAAATAAAATATGCTAATAATACTTATCTTTATTTAGTGTTCTAAAGCCTCTTTAACTATAAGCAGTATCATGGATGGAATGGATTATATTTAGACACTAACTGATGAAATTATTTGTAAAATAATCATGTGAGGATCAAATATGCATAGTACAATTCCAAAAAAATTCTTTTTTTCATGCAATTGCGGTAGTAATATGTTATCACTAACTTATTATTATAACGTAATTTATTGAATAAAAATTAATAGTAATGCGACTAACATGTTATTATTTACCTGATTTAGTATATCATGGGTAATATTTGTCTTATCACTTAAAAAGTTGGCAAGTGAATTACCTTTTTTTCTCAAAAAAAATTTAAGAAATTAAAATTAATAGAAAGTATATTATTTTGTTTATTTGTTTGTTTGTTTGTATTTATTTATACATTTGTTTGTTTGTTCATTTATTCATTTATTCATTCATACCCTTTTCTGTGAAAGTTTCTATGATGAAGGTCTACTGGTTCTAGAGAAGAAACTGGTTATGTATCTTTCTTTATAACAAACATAGAAACTTTTTTGTTTATTTATTTATTTATTCATTCATACCCTCTTCTATAGAAGTTTCTATAACAAAGATCTACTAGTTCTAGAGGAGAAAAAGGTTATATTTCTTTTTTCATAATAAATAGAAACTTTTTCATTCATTCATTCATTCATTCATTTATTCTGGTATTTATTTATTCTTTCTGTAATTTATTTATTTATTTATTCATTCGTTCTGTCATTCATTCGTTCATTCATTCATTCATTATTTATTTATTTATTTATTCATTTTGTTAATTATCGTTCATTCATTTGTTCATTTAATCATTTTGTCATTTATTCGTT